ATAAAAATTATTTTATTCCTGGTCTAATTACATTAACTGATGATTCAGTGAATTTGATAATTTTAGCATAAAGATGCTCTCATTGCACATGTTATCATATTAGAATTGTATTTGTGATATTTATATCCTTTAAATGAATGACCAAATAACAAATAAAATCAAAACAATATGTTTATGTTGCTTTATCTAAAAAAGATGACTATTTACTTGACAGGGTTATTTTTGTAGGCTTTGTGTCATAATAACATTATAACAAGAATTTCATTTAGATTAAGAGAACATATTTTGCGTAAGATTTTGCTAGACATTATTAATGCACCCGAGTCGAACCACCGACGTTTCGTAAGCTAGCTGGATAGCTTATTCACATGAAAGAATCCATCAAGTTAAGTAGACTCCGTTTTTGAAAAAACAACAAAGACACATCCGCTCTTATACCTTATATCAATGCCTATGTGTACTTTCAAAAACATAGCATGTACATAAACATTCAAAGGTACATAGCATGTAGGCAGGATATCAAACACTTTTACCGACTATAGTTTTAACTATAAACGTTTGAATTTGATACATATGGAATTGTGCTTGACAAACGTTTTAGTGTCATTTATATACGCCTTTTAAAATATATCCATACCCTGGGTATTACTTGAGGAGAAAAACAATTTATTTTGACAGGGATTTGAACCAGAGAATACAAACTGCCAACATAGTTACAAAATATATCTATATAAATCAAAACCAAGTAGTAATTGAGGGGCAGTTGACAACTTGAATCATGACTTTTTAGCTACATACAGATAAACATGTTCTTTAGAGTTTGTTTGCAATGGAACTGTCATTGACAGCTAATATTTTGTGAAATTAACCAACTAAGGGAGCATTATTCATTTTTACAGTTTCTTGTTACGTAATTTTGTGAAAAAATGAATTCTAATACGAATGTCTGAGAAAGGGGACCTTCAACTATTGATAAAAACGTTACAATATTCCCTTTGTAGTTGAACATTACATGTTTTAAGAAAGTGTAACAAAGTGTATGTGATAATTTCATAATACAATTGACTGTGAGATAATTTTGAACTGTTTCTACAATCCTTATGTGATATACCGTATATGATAAATCATAACTGATTAATGTGATCCTTTTTTAAGAATTTAATCTCATTTCCAAGTAAGTCTTGTAAAACATTTTAGGTCTAATAAAGATGTTATACAACATTGAATGACATTTATTTTATTTTCTTCTATTCTCATATCAGAAGGCTAAGGTTCACGCCAGGCCCCCTTACCCAGCTGCATGTTATGAAAGACAAAGGAATTGAAAAATTTGGGCTTTGCAATGGTGCCTTTTTGTCTTATCATTACGAATATGACATTGCGGTAAGCAATTTACAAATTTTGTATTTTCAATTCGTGTGACCAATGAAAAAAGGTTGCCTAGAATTTACTGGAATAAAATGATATAAACAGAAGATTTATTCTCCAGTATTTGAAATTGCTTAATACTCAACTGTTTTCAACATACTCCATACTGCTAGTTGCCCTTACGCTAGGAAATAGTCATGTACGCAGTATTATCCTGTAAGTAGGGAACAATTGTCTGTAGGTAACAGTGGTGTAGGCTATAGCCTTGTAACTAAAAAGTAGTCATGATAATAAAAAAACTTGCAGTTCGGATTCAAATATCCTTCGCGAAGTTACCTGCCTATTGGGCAGTAACGAGGCTTACCGAGTTGCCACCAATGGGCGGATATCCGATAGACGGACATTCCAATTTGAACCGCAAATACATGTCGGATATTTCCGTAAAACTGACATTGGGATGTCAGATGAGTCATGTGATTTTGAATGGCGTTTTAGCACATTTTATTAATGAACTCCGTTAAAATGACATCATTTTAGCGCATTTTAGAATGGAAATACGTACCAAAAATGACAACTAAAATGAATTATTCTCGTGAGTATTGTGCATTTAATAAAGAAATTAAACAAACTTTCCAAACAAGCCTCGTATAGTGTCATAAGGATTAAACTGATACATAATATTATATATTGTGTTTCGTATATCGTTTAAAATAAATACGTGTAACATACATGATTGTTGTATTTTTTAAACATAATTGGTCATTTCTATATTACCTTTACGCTAGACTGTTTAAGCTTTTTAGCTTATTCAGTAAATTTTAAATTACAGATCATTTTCACAAATTCGATGTGTTCGTTGAGAATATTGACAACTTCTGAACATGCTTAAATCTTGGCAACTAAATGATAATTTGATCTGAAGAATAGTTTATTCAAATATGATAACGTTTTTAGTTCAGATTTTTTAACCTACTACCATTGTATATTGTTAGATAGTAAGTAGTGGGTGTTAACGCTTACATTTTCAGAATTTATGAAGGTTTTGCTTCGAATTTCATTCTTTCTTGCGATTAAATATGGACAATAACATATTTTTCAGTCGCACTTTAATTTCATTACGTCAGTTGTTCATAGGCATGTATACTATTCATTATAAAGATTTTTTGACAGGTTATATGGTCCTATAAAAACGGTTGTTTGGAAATATAATCCGAGCAGCTAGACGATGGTTAAATTGCAAACAACCGTTTATATAAAGAAAATATAACATGTCAAAATATTTATCATGAATTTATGGTAAGCAAGCATAATTTTTTTAGAGATTGAGATTACGGCAGTACGAAGGAAATCTCTGGCCAGAGGTGTTTCCGTATCTTGAACCATTAACAACAACAACGAGATAGTTATACTGGCAAAAGTAACTTAACATGAAAGAAACTAACCTTATTTGACACATTTACGAGTTGCAATTTGATAAAATATGAACGTTTTCATGCACTTCAATTTATAAAGATAAGTGAGGATTTTTGGATAACATGTAAACAAATAAAACCTTTGTTGATATAAAACAAATATCAGGAATCTCCTCGAATGCCTTCATGACTTTATAAATCTTTTCACCACTGTAATAAATTACTAGTACTTTAAAGTTCATATAATCAGATAAAATTGTATTGAAAACGAACAATGCTTTATTAGATTTATTAACTGTATGATTTCATCCAAAGTCGCAGAGTTGTGTTTTCCAGTTAAAAATGAAACTACGACGCTATGTATGAGTCTGAGCTATGCTATGCACGCGAGTACAATAGGTATTTAATATCGGTTTATAGGAAATTAATAACACAAATTGTTAATTATATTGGTTGATCACAAGGTGCCAACGGTGGAATTTATTGGATAGACTTTGAGAAATCGGTAATATTTCAACATGTGCATGTATATAGAGCGAATGAACCCTTATTTAGCTTAGACTACACTGTACATGACATTTTGACACTTCAGTATGTTCCAATTCATAAAAAACAAACACTTTATTTCACGCAAAATGGTTACGCAAACACTTCTCAAAGAAAAGTTATTTAAGCTCCATCGTTACGAACAAAAAGCAAGAATGAGACACTATCGAAGGATCTAAGAAAAACCCGCCTTACATTCTAAGTTAAAATAATGACGAACTGCGTTTTATATTATTGTCACCAAAAAAAGAAGAACACTCATTTCTACCGTATATTTAAAAAAATTTGATAGTTGAAACATCATTTTTGTGAACTTTTACATATCATAAATCATGGCTTTGCGTTGATCTTTGCATTGCATTTTGTATTTGTTGTTATATGTCGGGCATTGAAATAAGACACATTACTTAAGGTCTTTCTGAACAGATGGTCAAATTAGTATCATTTACAACACAATAACAATATCGTCTGGACACATTTGAAATTAAAATCAAGAATAAAATGTTCTGTTCATTCTTTGTTTGCCAATATCTCCGTAGGAGCGAGCTTCTGACCTAAACAAAACTGTCTCAAAATAAGAAAATCTAACCGAAAATAAACGTATTCCGGTATCTGTAGCATATGTAACTGTAAACAATAGTGTTGCCTTTATTACAGTTTCATAAATGTGCTTAACTATTGAAAGGTTATTTTTGTAAACATCAAAATGTTCTAGTCGACCTATTTGACCGTTAACTTTTTATGTGTATATGCATTGTATTTCGGTCTTGAACCGTTGCATGTTAAACAATCAGATACATGATTTTATTATGCATTTCACACCTTATAAAATATAATCAATGGACTCTCAGAGCTTGACATAACTTTCCAATAAAAACGTTGTTTTCAGTTTTCTGTTTTTTTATGTCTATTTTGAGAAACTAACTTCAAAATAGGAGTTTTCTTTCACCACAGTTCTACTAAAATTTCGCCAAATGGGAATGTTGCCTTATGTAAATTTACGAAGTATGACACAGTAAAGCATTTTCACTGAGTCAATGCCACGTTGTACCGTTTCATGTAAAGTAATTATTTTATGATTATCCTCAGAAATCTTACACAAACGAAATCGACTAATATTTTGCCATACGACTGTCGATATCCTGTTTACACTTAAAAATGAAATGAGCATGTATTTTTAAGGTATTGTGTTTTGTAAATGTAAAAAGTAGTTTTATCAAAAGTGTTTCGAATGTGATACGAATTTAATGAATCTTTGCATAAGCTCAGAATTCTATGACAGAAACATCTTTTAAAGCGGAAAGAGTTGGATTTAGGGTAAACCTCGTTCGCTAGATATCTGCCCCTAATACTGAAAATGTAGCATGACATGATAATATGTTTCGATTGTGATAGTATTTTTTCAGTTTAACGTACATTCTTCTTTCACTAAACAATACTTTCACTATTCATTTGTTTTCAAAATTGAAAATCCTCCTTAAAAATCAATATGTAAGACAGAAATCAGTACAGCTTTGTCATTTCTGCGAACATAAATTTGATCTTATCTTGACCTACGACATGTTAGTTTTTCCAATACATTAATATTTAAATGATGTTTGCTATTGTGGAGAAATTTACGCATATTTAATAAGCAAATTGCGACTCCATTCAGAATTGCATTTACAACTTGATTTATAAGCCAAAGATTGAATTGGAAATGACCATAAATTTATGTCCATTAGTATACACCACAAAGCACTTAGTGCCAAATTACTTATTTAACAATACAGCAAGTAGAGGTGACACTAAATCTCAATTTACATTTTGAAAGAGCAAATTCAAATTTGTGAACTGTGATACAGTCAATGGAAGCAAATACTTATACTTCTATTTTTATTTTATTATAATTTTATTTATTTTGTCCTGCGAACAAATTGTAGTTTTTGGCCATTATTTCTTCATTTTAGAAGGTAAAGCCGTCGTACATAGGCACGGGATACCTGAGGGCTAGAGCTTCATTTTAAATCTTGTTCTGAACTTTGTGTTGTGTACCTTGGTGGAGGAAGACCTCAAGTGCCCATTCAGGCATTTCCTTTGGGACGAGCAGGAATCTGAGTAAAACCACCGTTCTTTTGTAAGCTTGCTGAATAGCTTCCTCACATGAAAGAGTACGAAGTCCCTGGCACGACCCGAACCCACAAAATACGTTAAGACATAAAAAGGGAAAGAGTTTGAATCTCATACACAGCAGGGGTTTTCCTGATGCATTTGCATCTTTGAGTTAAGACATGAGTTTATGATAACGATCCTTACTAAATAACCATACTACATCTATGCACCATTTGCCTTTTGTTGATCATATAGAAGATATAACACCAATAATTGCACTCTACATTGTAGTGATAAAGAAAATTCACGATTAATTCAGGTGCTGAAAAGTTGCTAAAATCAACCTTGTGAACCTTCAGGTGACTCTAACTCTAAAAAATAAAACAACATTCAATGTTAATAATACATTAGAATACATCTTTCAGTTGTTAACATTATTATGTTATAGACTACTGCCTAAATGGATATAGTTATAGATAAATGATTCCAGCATTCCTGTATTCTATTTAAATATTAAATGCAAACACATGAAATGAAGAAATGAAGAGCAATTGTATACACAGTAATTTAGTCAAATGGCACGCGTTAAAGTCCGAATTGCGACTCACAGGCTTTTCAATCTTAAACTATTACTTTAAATATAACTCGTTGAATATTGAAAATTATATTTCAGTTAAAAATAAAACATACAAATAATAGTCGAAATTGATGCAAGGGAAACCATTCTTACAATTATTGTAGTCTAAATATTTCACAGTTACTCCCCTTTCAGCTGTTTCTTTTGTCGGTGTAAGGCGAGATCAGAGAATATTTGCAACGCATCCGTCGCCTCTCCAGTCTAGCTAAACCGATCCCGGAAATGTGGGTCATAGGTAATCTTAGTGTCTAATGACAAAATGAAAAAAATGTTATTTCATGTCATTATTTCATGTACATTTGATATATTTCTTCTGTATTAAAAAAAACCCCAGAGAGGTTAATCTTACTTAAACATATATAAAAATAATTCTTTATCGAAATTGTTTTTTTGAAACACAAATTACACAGTTTTATCATGGCAACACACTAATATGAACGAACAATTTAATATAAGAACAATAAGATATTAAAAGGCATAGAAAAAACACAGTATTGTTCGCGGTAGCCCCGGATCATGACTATTTTATCACTCAAAACATATCTAATTAAATTATGATCTAATTTTGTTACACTCATCAACAGTTAAATTATATTGGTTACATAATCTTATGGTCGATTCTCAAATCAGTTGTAACATAGAATGTCTCTGTTATTTAACACTCGTGAATATTGTACGTAAACAGAATAAAATTTCAATAACAAAATGTTTTTCTGCAAATTTAAGAAGGATTTTATCCGCTTTATAAGAGTCGTTTACAAATTTACAACCATATATATTTCATACAAGCGTTTTGGAAGCATTCTTAACAGTTGTAAAATATAAACACTATTTTTGCCCCTGATATATGTATATATCTTTATACACTTTAAACAAATGAATATTACATTTACGAGCGAACATTTTCTTCAAATGGAGAATTTTAAGTATGGTTATTACAAATAAAAGCCGAACTATATTTGAAAATAATCCTCATTAAATAGAATAATCACAAAGAGAAACATTTAGGTTCCATTAGTTATCTAAAAAGCTTTCTTAACTGGAATAAATCTTTCCTTGCTGGAATTCAATCACCAAATAATAAATAATTCAGAGGCCAGGGGCGTAATTCTTTTAGCCACAAAAGGTTTGAACACATATTATTATAACTGTAATTATGCAAATAAAGTTCTCGAGTTTTCGCGTGCACACGCTCTTTAAGCTTATATATTACATTCCAAAACGTACAAACTAAAGAGCCTAGTACGTATTTGAACAGTATATTTACTTATTTTTTCATATATCAAGCATTCATTTCTCGAGTCTTTTTTATAAGTAATTTTACAAAAGATACAACTTAGTACCTGCTCAAGTGTATCTAGTATCATCTGCAGCACATGTGATTGTCGTTCAAGCGTATCAAACCGGCCCATGTCAACCGACATTTGCTGCGTGGTTAAAAGCTCGAACACCAGGACTAGCAGCCACGGTATATCCAGAAGGCTTTGAACCTGGAAATGTGGGTGTCCATTAGTGCGCACATATGGCAGCATGGATCGTGCTTGTGTAAGAATATCTGAAAAACAAATATTGCATCTTACAAGGTAAGGTTAAAAAACTTTGGCATAAAATGATGTTGTGAATTGTCTACCATAAAGATTAATAATAAAAGATTGAAGAAACTGAATTTTAAGACTTTTAATGATCCATTTTGTCAAGTTATTTTTTTAAATGCCTTATTATATGGATGAAAACGTTATGAACCGGACAAGAAATATATCAGCCATCAGACAATGTTGACCTTTGATCTCAATCTCAAAGTGTGACCTTGACTTAAGACGTAGAGGTCTGTTTATTTCACACGACACGTCGTCGTTTTTGGTGAACATTTGTGCCAAGATATTTCAAAATCCCTCGATCGCCCGGAAACTAAGTCTGACGGACGGATGGAGGGACAGACAGACTGACAGACAGACAGACAGACAGACAGACAGACAATAAGACGATATTTATTTCTATATGCCACTTTTTCTTTGAAAATAATTGAACTGCTACAATTTTATAAAACCTGACTAATGATTAACCGTAACTGTATAAATATATCGCCTATATCTTTGGTTTAACATTTTAAGAGCAGCATCACTCGATCGTTTTGATAAGATTTGCACATTTAACCACTTCTTATCATTCACTTTGTATGTTTTCTTTAATCACTCAAATGGAACTGAAACGAGTTGCTAATGGTGTTAAATTTTGTGAATTTATGAACATATTATCTTTGACCATCAACCCCATTAGACACACATTTATGTGTTTTAAGGTATTAGAAAATGGTGATGAAATAGAGGGATCGAATAAGATAAAAGTTTGTTTGATCTCATTGAAGAATTTTAAAAATAAACTTGCGCTGATTCGGATAAAACAGCCTCTTTGTAATATAGTCGAGAGTAAAGTTGCCAGTATTCCACGATCCAGCACTTATTTGGTTGTTTCATTGCTTTAAAGAAAATTTCACGTCAAATTTTACGTCAAATCCAAGTGGTCGGTCTATCTAACCGGATTTCCTGAATATCTAACCAGTAATTACCTTTATTTTCGCAAGTGACCGACTACCGATCACACATAATTTCTAAGTCACTGGTGAGATGCAAAGTAAATTACCATACGGTCTTAAGTCCGATATCAATGTTGTCACAGAGGGAGACATTTCTCTTAGCAAGACGACCTAACCAATAACAGCTGAATTACAAATCCGATCCTCTGTCCATTGAGCTAAACGTCTAGACATTTTTCTGGTTAAACTCAAGTAATTTACAACTTCTCTACATGCATAAGAAACATTGAATAAATATCTAAATATGTGTTGTCTTCAACAATTCATATCAAATGGCCACTAAGAAAACATGTACCACACAGTTTGTTTTGAACAAACGAAGCTTATGCCCGCATGTAGAAAGGAAATGTACTTTTTATTAAATGGTAGTCAATCAGTTTCATCAGTCATTTTTTTACTCTACAGCTCTAGTTCCCCATATCCGGACATATATAATCTGATAATCTTAGTCATCATAACGGATATATAACTATATGATTATTACCGTCACGACGGAAATATGAACAAGGGCTTTGCGAGTCTTTAACTCAAAATATTCGCCAACTTCCTAGGGTGTAAACAGGAAAACCGTAGTTACAACTTATTTTTTTGACAGCATAACAAAAAAACAATTTAGAAACAAGTGTACTTCCTGTTATCGCAAGAAAGGTTCAAGTTAAAATATAAAGACTACCAAGTAAGGAACAGTGATCGGAAGTAACGTGCGCATGTACAAGACAGGGTACATATTGAATTGTATAAGCTTGAAAGACAGGGTACAGTGATTTTGTTTATATACTGTGACAAAACAAAATTATACCTGTAAC